TACACAAAGTTACAAAAAGGAAGTCATTTATAACAACACTGATTATAAACTTAATTATTCTACTGATTTTTTTCAAATTTTCCAATGTCTTTGTAGTTAAAATATTATAACAAAAGAAGTTGAAACAACCATGAACAAGCTGGAAAATCATAAGTTCTGTTGATCACTAAGAACTACTCTCTGCAGCATAGCTTGTTAGTGATGTCAAAGGTTCATTTCTTTGGAATTTCTGAATTTTGTTTACTAAATTACTAAGTTTTACTAAATTACTAGTTTCTGTACTACCAGAAAAAGATCTGGTTCTACAAAAATTCCTAAAGTTCATGTATTGCAATATAGACATTGAAGTAATTGTACTTTTCCTAAGACTGTAAAATATTAGTATACTTCCAAATAAAAGGAGACAACTTAATACAATCTTTGTAAGTTTTCCCCAGTTGCTTTCTGTTTGCCTCATTTATCTTTTTGTCCTTGAGAAATTATTCAAAGTATCCCAAAGTTTAGCAGTATTTATTAATATATTAAACCAGAAGCAAGTCTATATTCTAAAAAAAATCCATTATTTCTTTATGTATTAGCTCATGTAACTTTTAGGAAGAAAAGAATAACCCATTTCTCTTACTGCTTTGATATAATTTTAATAGGATTCTGAAAGACAGACATCACCAGGTTGCATATACATGAATATTAGCTTGGAAATAGAAAGACTTCATATTTATTAATTCATTAAGATACAACCAAATAGATAATTACTAAATAAAAGAAATAAAATAGTTTACTTGTTATTAATTTCAATAAATAACATTATCCAATGCTTGGCTTTAGACTTTCTCCAAGTGCATACAATACTTTTGTTTCATGTTAGCATCACCTGAAATTTAACACAATATATCTATATCATACCTTCTAAAATCTGTTTGCTGGATCCTGCAGCCATCTCAATGGGGTGATCAGCTGTAAAAACAGAACCAAGGAAAAAGTAATTTATCTTTCAATGTGTCTTTTGTTTATTGTTGAAAGTATTTAAGGTATGTCAAGTACAACCTCCAGACCGTCTTAACTAAAAGTAACCAGGAAGTTTTTAAGTTAAAAATTAACCTTTTAACATAAAAAGAGAAGATGTTAAACAAAAGGAATCAGTTAATCCTCCAAAGCACAGGATGTTTCCAAGCATTTTTACACTTTGTTTTAATATAAGGTAGAAAACAGAGAAAGCTAGAAGCAATGTAGACTCAACCATGCTAAAGGTCTTATTGTCTACTAAAGCAGAACACAGAGACAGGATTTCTAGATAGTGAGTGAGTAGGTCTGAGTAAATTTCCAATTCATATGAGAGGATGAACATAAGCCCAGTTGCAAAGGGCTACATCTTTTTCCAGAGCCAGGTGGCTGCCAGGGCCAACCCAATTCTGGAAAATTATGTGGCTGCTTTAATGAATGACAGACAGCTGTGGTGTTAATGCTCCTGTGCATTTGAAAGCACCTTTTTTTGAATCAAATGAAAAGTACTGCAAGGGCATGTGTGCAATGCCCAAGTACAGTCAATCACTAGACTAAAAATCAAGAAGCCAAATCACAATCAGGTCATATTAAGTGAAAATTAATATGAGATGAAAATTAACATCAACAATTCAGGAAAGATTTATCCTATGATATTGCAAGGATTCATATTGTTCTAAAACTACACTATTGTTATCTCAATAGGTTTCCAAGTACAATTCAGTGTGCTAGTTTTAACCAATAAAACGCCCCTTATGGCTTTGCCCCTAGGCAATCTCCTTCAAACAAAAGTATTTAGTCTTCTCTTCTCAACAGGTATATTGAGGGTCCCGCCCCTGCATGTGTGAAGTCTGTGGATGGCCTGTCCCCAGATATTCCAATGGCTCTTTTTACTCGTCTTCATATGGCCTTTAATCAATAATAACTGTCACATGGACTTCAGACACTGGGCTGGGTTCATAGTTTAATCAGCATTTTATCAGTTTTATGTATTATCTTACAGATATTTTGATTTTGATGCTGTAAACTACCAGGAGTTTTCTCAGAGTAAATAAATATTTCAAGTAACTTTCCTTAAAAACAGGATGATGCAGAAAGAGCTATTAAACCTTCACATAGCAAGGGTTCTTTTTGTTTGTTTAGTTATGCAGAGGGAAGAAACTCTGCATATGTAAAACTGCCCCACATTGTTCCTCCTCTAATAGATGCATTAAGAATGCTTGCCAAAATGTAATACACACCACCACAATTAGCTCTATCTTCCTCCAGGGAAGAAAGATAGTACCAGTGCACAATTTTATTCTCACCACTATCCTATCAAAAAATTAGCTAAGGGAAAGTGTATAGCTAAAGCCTTATTGAATTAGTTCATAGAAATTAGATCCTAGTTTTAGACTCTTAACCATTACAGCATATTGAATCGTTCATACTGACCATGAAGCACCTGCTTCATATAATAAAAACATGGTTTCAAGCAGTAGGAGAATATACCATTCTTTCCCCTGCATTCATTACCTCTCAAAACCAAAATTCCCTGGTTCTTTTTAAATGTGGTTAAAACAATCCTGTAACTTAAAGAAAACAAACACAATACAGGATTCCCATGGACTTTGAAATCATGGTATTTTTCAAGCAATCGCAAAGAAAATGTCTGATACTGAGTCATTTAAGGAAAAGTGTTCACAAAGATTTCTTGTACATACTCAGTCTACATATGCTTCTTTTGTACCTTTTACTCTTTCCAAATTACTGTAAATTGGCTCTGGGAATGTTGATAAACTGAAGGGCAATGCAGAAACCTTTTGAGTAATTACCACCTTCATACCACATACATATGGCACAGCATCATACAGCCAAATGGAAATATGTGTGCATATCATGTAAGATATTGCACATACATAATTTCTGTGGAGCAAACATGTAATGCATGATGTAGATCCACCTTTTCTAATAACTGAGGCAAGACCAAAGGTTTCCCTACCATTTCCTTTCAAATCATCATTATTACAGAAACAACAGGAAATAGATTAGGTAGCCAAAGATAAGATTCAACAATGTTTATATTATCTTTGTTACTGGAAGATTTTAGCATCTTTTCAGTATATCTATAGAGGCATCCCATTTTGAAGACAGATAGCATATAGATGTGCATGCCTGCCACACATACCCACATACCTACCATGACAATAATCTTGAGAATGGCCATGCCCATGACCATGGGAATGGCTATGGCCATGCCCATGTTTGGAATCATGACTGTGGCCATGTCCTCCATGACCGTGGCTAAGAGTCCCATTAAACAGTGAATGGCTGTGCTCATGTCCTGCCAAAAGAAATTCATTGATGTCATTTATTAAAAATAAAGATTCTGGATTTTATCAGGATTACAACAAAAGGTTGAACATTAAGAATGAGAAAATAAAGCAGAAATAGCCAGATACATTCCAATGCCCGTGCAAGTAGATGTTCCCTTTCCAGCACAAAGGTTAAAGCAGACGATCTGCTGCGCTTAGAGACCCCAAAATCTACTTAAAATAGACTAATTTACATTGGAACAATTTTAACTGCATTTGTGAATTTTATTTATTTGCATAATAGTTATACTATCCCAAGCTATGTAACAGTTCTGAAAAAAATATTTTTATCTGATGAATTAATGAATCGCAGCAGACATTTTAGGAGGATTGACCTTGTTTTCTCGCAGGAAAGGATGTCCTTAAGATGGCGTCTTCATTATCAGTTTCATGAATATTTATATTAAAATGTATTTTTTAAAAAATGTCTCCAGACTAGTCAAGTTAACTAGAAGACAAGTTAAGTCTTCTGATTGAAAAGTGCCCTTGATTAATAGGAATTCATTAATTAACACAGTTTATATGTAACTATGTTATATCAGTAAGCTATCTTGGCTTTACTTATTTCTTTTGAAGCACCAACTGAACCACCCTGATCTGGACAGATACAATGGGAAACTGTAGTTTAGTAAGTCACAATACAAACAACATGCGAGAGATATAAGAAAAGTATGGAGGGAACACGGCTCTGTCCTGGGCTTAGCTATGAAGTGAAGCATACCATACCAGTTCAAATGCAAAGGTCCGTATTTCTATATAATTACACCTTTATTATTGCAAAGTATAAAATTTTTCATTTAAGCACCACAATTCTTCTGCAAGGAATTTCCCACATTTTATATATTTCTAAAACAAACTAGTTGATTAAACAAAGTAAGTTCCACTTCTTTAAATGACATAATTTTATTATTATTTATTTATTTATTAAATTTGTATGCCGCCTATCTTCCCCAGCGGGTGACTCTGGGAGGCTCAATAATAGGTGTAAAACGTAAGCTTCTATCCCATTTTGACTAAATTAAAGAGACATGACCTCTTTGAATGGCCTTAACACATGGAACAAAATATATTCTGAGGCTTTGGGCTAAAGGACATGAAATGAAGCAAAAGTATTCCAAGGTTTTTACCAAGCTGGTTAAATCAGACCAATGATTCCTGACGATGCAGCATAAGAGACAGGGTCACCCTGCACCTATACAATAAAGCACAACCAATCCTACTAGGATTAAAACAATGAATCCTGAGTTTATCTATACAATAAGGATCCTTCTACTACAACTGGGGAGAAGTCACTGATACAATGAATTGGTAACACTTCTTACCAGAACCATGGGAATGGCCATGTCCACCATGTTGAAACACAAAGATTCCTATCAAGTTTACAAGGAAGCCAAGTATGGAAACAGGAAGGAGTCTTTCGTGGTGCACATCAGGAGGCTCAAGTGCTCTCTACAACAGTGAAACAAACTGTTTCAACGAAAGTCATGTATAGACCTCACCAATAAGCTTTCCTCAAATTTTCATAAATATTAATACTGTCTAATTCAGAAGATTTTTTATTTTTATTGGAAACTAAAGCTAGATTTCCAAGTGCTCACAGTATAATCTCACTTAACATTGGAACTCAAATCATTCCATGAAATTGGCTGATGGGAGATTTGGGACATGTTTACCACGTGCATAAGTAACATATGGTAAGGATGCTGGCAACTTACACGGCTTTTAATGGACACTAAACATACTCATGATGAAAAGTTAACTAATAATTTTAGGTACAACTGGCTACATGTAGCATTCAGGTTCAGAAAACATACTGCCTATGCATACCAGTTACAGGAGAGCAATTGTATGAAGCCCAATGCTTTCATGTCCTGTTTCTCAAGGCCATTTGACTGGCTACAGAAGGAAACAAGATACTGGAATAATGGATTTTTTATCTGATCCAAAAGGGCTTTTTTCAGATAAATTATACAGTCTGTGACATAATTTTTAAGCAAATTACTGCACATCTAAGAGAAGTCACAGACTAGTCTTCACAGAACGAGAAAAAAATTTCACGAGTGTTGTAGTGTTAAGTAAACATAATAAAAGTAATATATTGTGTAATCAAAGAGACTACTTGAAAATACAAAAGACTTTTTGAAGATTTGAAAATGTCAGATTTTTAACACTGTTATGGAAAAAAGGGTGGAATAATATTTCTTGAAGAATTAGTGTCAGTAAGTAAAGCTACCACCCTAAGCACAATTAGTACTGAGTAAACCCCACTGAATTTCAAGTTACTTATTTCTGCAACATATTTAAAACTGCATTGTTAAATCCTGAAGGCCTTTTGATTCACTTCCTATCCAAATGGTGACAACTTTTGGTTAACTGGGGTGAGAATTATTTATTTATTGAATTTATACCCTGCCATAATCAAGTGATTCTCTTACATTTTCTGGGCTGCATTTGGCAGTAACTTCATCCAAGTGAGTATAACTGGATTTTAAGTAAAAAGCCACAAAACTGCTCTGCAAAAATCTTTTCATTCAACAGAGGAAAATATTTTTAACCATCTTCAGAACATACCTCAACCCCTTCAGAGAAAATGAAGAAAGCTGTGAAGATCAAAAATAGGCCATTTACAAAACCAGCTAATACTTCTGCTCGAACGTACCTAAGATGAAAAAAGCAGATAGTACCATTCTAGATTGCAAAATCCACAATTAATTTCATGTCTTGTTTTTTGCCACATATAGAAGACAAACACAAAGGTAGTCATGGTTGATCAGTCACAGCCAAATAAAATGACAGACATGTAGGAACTATATCATCCCAGAATTATCCCTATAATAATGTCTCATTTTCCAGAAAGGATAACCGCTGGAAAATAAATACAGCACTGCTTCTGCTTTTAAAACAGACAAGATTATTCCTTGATTCTCAAGATATCATTCACAAGGAAGCCTACTTTTATCATTAAACAGTACATAATTAAGTGCCCCCCTTTTAGTCTTAAAGTACAGCACTTCAACTATTTCAACTCTTCCTCATTTCATTTCATTTACATCTGATATTAGAACAAGAAATTGATAGAATTAAATAAAGTGTAGGGAAAAACAATAAGTAGACAGCTAGACAGGGATGGGCTTCATTCCTACCTCCCACATATTCCATTCAGCAATAAAAGTACACTGCACATCCTTGCTTTAGAGCAAAATTGATAGCTATATATTTAGCATAGAGATCAACAGAAGAAAGATCAGCACCTAAGAGTAGATTTCTTGATGATCTGAAGTAGTTTTCAAGGATTACTGACATCCTACTGTTAAACAACAATGTTCATCACTTCCTAATTATATTGCCAAAATAACTTCCTGGGGGGTAAAACCAGGAATGGATTTTTGTGTGGGAAGATTGCATCTGCAGTTTACTTTTGGTACTCAAACAAATTCTTGAACTCAGAATTCTTAAATTCTAAATGTATTATGTTCTGTGCTTAAGTGTATTATTTTTTGTGCATGATTCAGAAGAACGTAATGACAAGCCATTCTCATGTATTATTGACAAGAAAATGACATGGATGTGTTTATGTAATCACCAGAAGTCCAGAAAAAAAGGGGCGGGGAAACTTTACGTTTTAAAAAAGAGAGAGATACCATATTTACATGTATACATACATATAAACATAAATTTATGTATGTAGTTTCTGTATCACCAACTAAAAACTACTATCATGAGAACAAATAAGGTATATGAACAAATAATAACTTTGATACTTGGTAGTATATGATGGTTTTGATCCAATATATGTTGGTTTTGATCCATTCCATTACTTTATATCCACCAACATCCTGAACATGGGGGACTCCTGAGAGGAAAGTTGAAGTGCATTCAAGGATGAAAGCAGAAATAAATTCCATAACACAAAGTGAAGTGTTATTATATAATATTAGATGAAGGCCAATGGCAGCTACAAAGTGCATCCTATTGCTCTCACACAGAGTAGGCAGTGGCAATCCCACATAAAAAATAACCTATAAAGAACAGGAACCAGAACGGTGCTAGTTAGATCTTTGGGCACTATGCATCCATATTAAATATTCATTATCTATTTTGAGAGAAAATAATGGAAGCTTCAGACTTTTGGGGCTTACCAAATGTTTCCTGAGTTTAGAAAATTTGCCTATATCAGCATTAAATAACAGTTGACTAGTTTAGCATGGTTAATTTAACAACATTGTCATTAATATCAAGAAGGAAAATATTCAAGGCAAGCATTGTAGACTTGGCTCCTCTCCTGCGAAAAAGTGCTGAAATATAGTATATCTTTCATATACATTAGCCAAATTACACAAGAAGTATTTATAGGCTGATTCCATTAACCACTTTAATACAAATGCCAGACTGCTTTATCAGCATGTTGTAATAAAACTGCACCTTCTTTCCAATTATCATCAACAGGTAAATGTTTCAACAAAAAGCTTCTCAGAACATGAAAGCTTACCCATAGGAGAAAGCATCATTGGATCTCCACTTTGAAATAACAGAAGCTGCAAGTCCAGCTAACAGAGCAGTACAGTCAAAAAACATGTGAAATGAATCTGATATTAAACCTAGACTGGGAATATAAAGATAAAAAATCAGTTAAGTACAGAAGGTTACAGAAGGTACAGTACATTAGAACATTAAAAAAAAAAATCCTCCCAGTACTAGTGTCAGGGTCCATTTGACCCTGCATTTACTGAAGTTGTTATCCCCCCAATTCTCTCAGAATATACATATAATATGCTACAGTAAAGGTACAGCCCATTCAAGACCAATAACCCATTTAACTGAATTAGAACTAATGAAGTAAACCCAATTACTAGGTTTATAGGCACCCTGGGTCCCCAATCTGGCACCCAGGCCAGTCCTGTGCCTGCCAACACATAACTCAGCATAAACCAAACTCCTTAACCATTTTAATTTTGGTTTGTTTGTTTTTATTTTTTTAAAAAAAATAGGAAGATGATATTCTGCAAAACAAAGCACCAACCTTAAAAATAATCTGTTTCCAAAAATGCTGCTGGTCACCATATAGGCCCTAGAGGCATTCTTAGAAAATAAAATATTAAGTAGTTGCAGCTTAGTGCTTTGTTTACCTTCTGGCATATGGGCATGTTAATATTGGCCAAACACAAACATTTTATGAGACATGGTCATGTTTACCTTCTGGCATATGGGCATGTTAATATTGGCCAAACACAAACATTTTATGAGACATGGTCATGTTTACCTTCTGGCATATGGGCATGTTAATATTGGCCAAACACAAACATTTTATGAGACATGGTCATCAGACATTCTCAAAATTCTGAATGTGTCCACTGTCTCTAAAAGATTGGGCCCCTGGATATATGCATAAGTATTAGGAACATTCAATACAAGAAGCTATAAGAAGTGTTAATTTCTTTAGCAGAGATTCATTTTAGCCCAATACCAGCCAAAATATAAATCTGTCTTTGGAAACCAATCTGTACAAACACTTGAGAATCCATTATTCAAAAACCCAAGATTTCACTAACAAATGTTAGGATCATTAGGGTTCAAAAATTTAAAGATTAGTGACTTATTGGAAAGTCTTTTCTGAGCAAGTCCATTCAATGGCCATCTTCACAAGAGAGATGACGACTATGAAGCCAGCCAAAGATTAAGAGGGCTTTAGTCACTTAATAAAATTCTATAGAGAATTATTTTGTCTATATCCCATTCAAATAGATACAATAACTTGTTATATATAGGAAAGTGTCGTACTAAAACATTCTTCTGAAGGGTTTGTTTAGCCCTTCATAGTTGTTGTTATTAGATTTATATTCTCCCTTTATTGTGTGCAACTCAAGGCAGTATATATAATGCTTCTGCCTCCTGTTTTCCACATACCCTGTAAGATAGGTTGAGCTGAGAGAAATGACTGGCCCAGAGCCACCCAACCTAAGAGAGGACTAGAACTCTTAGTCTCCTGGTTTCTAGTCCATCACCTTAACCATTGCACCAAGCTGGCTCTCAATGTCCACAATTCAATAGTTATGAACTATAATGAAGCTTATTAGTTCTCACAGTCTAATGTCTTCCACGTGGTACATTCCCAGTCATTCCCAGGCATTATAACATAGGATGAACTGTAATACTGCATCTTCCAATACAGTCTTCCAGTAATAATCCCAAAACAGCACTGCTTGGAAAACTCCATCTTATTCTCTAATTTATCCATAAATACAAGTTTAGTCTAGTTTAGTCTAGTTTAGTTTAGTTTAGTTTAGTTTAGTTTAGTTTAGTTTAGTTTAGTTTAGTTTAGTTTAGTTTAGTTTAGTTTAGTTTAGTTTAGTTTAGTTTAGTTTAGTTTAGTTTAGTTTAGTTTAGTTTAGTTTAGTTTAGTTTAGTTTAGTTTAGTTTAGTTTAGTTTAGTTTAGTTTAGTTTAGTTTAGTTTAGTTTAGTTTAGTTTAGTTTAGTTTAGTTTAGTTTAGTTTAAAAAGTAAGTACCGAACAATACCATTCCATTATATAACTTTGTTACAAGGCCACCAATGCATGTGATGCTATGCCTCACAGTTTCTTGAATGATGAGAAAAGATTTGATTGGGTTGGAACTATTATTAACATCAGATATAAATACATACATACATAATCTCTTGGTAGATTTAGCCTTCATTTGAAAGTGCAGCTTTCATTTTGGCCTTCTTACAATGAACTATGTTACCAAGAGTTACTAACAAATCCTCAGATTTATAACTGAATTTAAAAAAAGGAATAATCCCTTTCATTAGGCTCATTCCATAAACTCATTTGAGTCAAATGGAATTAATCAGGATCCATTCTGAGACACTGACAGAATGCATTCTTAGCCCATGCAAAGCTGCCCAATAACTTGCATTAGCTTTAGAGGCCTTCCCTTCCAAATTTCTTTATCCATCCATGAAGCAAAGAAGGTGTTGATTGGAAGAAAAGCTTTCTCTACCAAGGTATATTTATTATGGAACACTCTCACCATGAATGCCTCCCACTGCTTCTTGACCATTTCTCAGGTGTTTTAAAGTTGATCTAGTTCAGCACTAGAAATTTAATGGCGTTTTAAACTTTTCTGACACAAGTACCCTCCATCCATCCATCAATCAAATCAAGCTAAACTCCATGTTGGAAGTCTCTGAAATAAATACTGTAATTACAAAGTAATTTATTTCAAACGCCCTCTGAAATTTAATAGAAATACACAATTTAAACGTCAGCTTTCCCTGTCCATCAATTTACCAATTGTTTACACTTAATCCAACCCTCTTCTCTGATTATTTAGAATAGGCAGCACAGAAGAAAAAGAGTATTTATTATGAAGGTATGACTTCATACAAAGGCTACACCTTCCATTCAACTTTGGAGTTTAGGAGGTGATAGGTATCATAGTACTTTGGAAATTTTCATTCATCTCCACTGCTTCAAAGTTTGAAGGAAGCTAAGCTATTTAGCACACTCACCAGACATCACACTAGCTAGGCAGGCCAAAATGCTGAAGGTTGAGAAATATCATAGGGAATAAAAAACAGTCTAGTATTAAAAGTGAAATACATATTTCTTTAGATTGTAACTGTGTATGTCCTGACATAAAGACATCCAATCATTTCTCTAATATCTTATATTAAGATATACCATCGTAATAGATACATGCTCAAATGCAGAAACTCATTTGCAAAATCAATTGTTACTGATTTGTGTAGTACAGTACCTTTGTTAAATACACCAGCCAAACTAATGAATACTGAATAAGCTAATCTGGTATGTCATCTTTGACCTTATCCCAAAGTGGTAGATTTTGTTTCAAAGTTTTGGGGTTTTTTTGCTTTCTTGTTTTAGCTTACTAGATACCTATAGCAATAAGATCATTTTACATATAGTGTTTTCCTATTTCATGGAGTGACAATTTCCTAGAAATTGTTGAACTTCAGTTCTTATAATCCTCAGCCAATCTTAGAGAAGATGGAAATTGAAATCTAACTGCATCTGGAGGGTCATGGATTACTTACCCCTGCTTTCCCATCATTCATGCCATTCATGGCATACACAATGTGTACACAATATGAGAGTTTATACTGCACACGTGCCTAAATAGCGAAGCTACTCTGGCTTCCTATACTGATAATTACATATTTTGAGGGAGATGCACATAGAAACAGGCCTTAGCATACAGGAAATTAAAAAGAGCCTATGGAAAGGTGGGGATGACTGCCACTACAATCCAAGCTGCCACCCTTTTCTACATTTCTACATTTGCTGTAATTTCATAACACAAAGGGGATGGATCTTGCATCATGGTCCACAACACCAATTTTATCACTTCAATAAAATCACTGCATTCTACAGAATCCGTTGCGTCATGATTTCTCTGGAGCTCCTATTGCCCTTGTCAGTTTGGGCACATGAAACAGAGACAACTAAATGGGTGATAGGATGATACATGTTTGCACAATTTTGGTTTTGAACTGAACCTAAGATGCAAATACAGGAGCATGCAAGTCCCAGCCATTATCAACTACAACTAATTTATGTAAAATCAATACCTGCAACAAAAATATAAAAGGCCTATACATTCGCTGAGATCTATTTCAACAATAAACGCAGTGTAAATGGCATTGCCATTAGATATTTTATGGAGTAATTGCATATTCACAAAAGAAGGGCAGTTCATCACTGATCCTTTGCCCTGAACATGTTTAGACACCACATTTCAACAGTTCTGTCCAGACTGAATAAACTGTAGTTGGACAATTTAAAAGATAACAAATTATAATCCCTGCAGAATTTTCCCAGGTACATATGACAATGTCAGCGATCTGTCCAAACCTTTCTGGTTTTCCCCTTGAAGCATAAAAATCAGCTCCATAATAAGATCTCAAGTACTCCAAGAGGGGAGGCCTGAGACCACCCTTTCCCAAAGCTAAGGGCACTCCCCTTCAGAGCCGGCCAACGGGGCTTCCTCCTCAGCCCGGCCAGAGGAAGACGTGGCAACACCAGCGGAGCTGAACTTGACGTTCAAGGGCGAAGCGCCGCCTCCCTCGCCTCCCCTTTGTACCTGTTGCTCCAGATGCCGTACAGCAGCTCCACAAAGGCAAAGGAGAGGTTGAGGCAGAGGAAAAAGAAGAGGTTGCGCGACGTCTTGTCCGAGAGGATCGACCTAGAAACAGGGACGGGGAGGGCGGGAGAGGGTCAAGCGAGGAGGCCAGACCCCGGTTTTCTGCGGCAGAAGCCAGCAAGGCCTTCCAGGGAAGCGGAAGAAGAGAAGGTCGTCGGGCCGTTCCCACGCTCGAGTAGCCTAACGACGGTTGCAAACCGCCACCCGCCCGCAGAGCCTTTGCTCCGGTTTCCATGCAAACGTTCGAGGGAGGCACGTCCTTGACAGCCAGGCCTCGAAACGCCGCCGCCTCTTCCCTCTCTAAGCCCCTTGCCCGGCCGAGGGGACACCGGCCCCTTCCCTCGACCGTATTCCCGCCCCGCAAGCGACGGCCCCGAGTGGCGCGCAAGCGCGCACCCTGGTCGAGCACCTCTTCTGCCAGCTAAGCTAAGCTGGGTGCGATGGGAGTTGGAGTCCACGCCAAATAGGAGAAACATGCCGCTACAGTCAACCCACGGCTCCCTCCCTCTGCGGCCAGCCGGCTCCGCCACTCAGACGAGGAACTGAGAGATCCCTGCCCCGCACCCCGTGGTTCCGGCTCCTTCATCCTGCAAGTCTGCAAGCCCGCAGCTAAATTCGATTTCAATATTCAGCCCACCCAACGAGGCTCCTTCCCTTCCTCCCCAGCCCCCAGTCAAAGCCAATCATTCCCCGGCCTCGAATTGAGCACAAGGGGGCTCCCGCTTTCCTCTTCTCGGGCGCCTGTTCACATCCCACCCGCTGGTGGCTCCCAACTCCCGGCCACCCGGGGCTTCTCCCGGCAGCCCCGGGTGATGCGGCTCCCCTCGCCCTCACCTGAACCATCCCGAGATCTTTCGGAGCAAATGAAGCTTCGGAGGCTTGTATTCGTCGTCCTTGATGGACAAAGGCAGCATCTTTCCCGGCGGCGAAGGGAAAAGCCGGGGCCTAACCTAGCGTGAGGGGCCGAAAAAGCTGCGGCGCCCCCAACTCTCGCTTCTTGGCCAGGCAGCCGCCTGCAAGGCAAAGCCGGCCTCTTCGCTGAGCAGCAACTTCCGGCACAGCCGGAGCTAAGCGTCGCTAGTGAGCCTGCGCGATAGGAGGGGGTGGCTAAGTTACATCAGAAGGAAGGAAGGAAGGAAAGAAAGGAAGGAAGGAAGGAAGGAAAGAAAGGAAGGAAGGAAGGAAGGAAAGAAAGGAAGGAAGGAAGGAAGGAAAGAAAGGAAGGAAGGAAGGAAGGAAAGAAAGGAAGGAAGGAAGGAAGGAAAGAAAGGAAGGAAGGAAGGAAGGGATTTAATGCTGTAAAAATAGTTGTGTGATGTACTGTATAGCGATTTGTTCATCTGTGTATAGCAATCTGTGACACTTGTGGTACACTAGGAGGGCAGAGGTATATTGACTTCAACTAATACAGCTTTACAGCTGATCCTTAACATGTGGACTTGATGTAATCCCCACTGAGTACAGCGGGAATAAGTCTACATGACGTTACAGATGGGTATGCTACCCGGAAGTAAATTCTATTAAGTTAATAGGTGTCTATTCCAAGCCAACGGGTCTAGGATTGTGTTGCCTAAGAATTTCTATTTTACCAGGCTAAGGAACTAAGATAACCAGTGAGCTTCAAGGGCTCTTTCCCAAAGAAGTATTAAGAGTCCATGCTGACTTGATGGCATATAATCAATCAATCAAAAATAAAAATCAAGTGCAGTAGCAGGGATAAAGTTCATGCTGAGCGTACTTCAGACCTCTATTCAGCCTGGCAACAAAAGAGAATTGGTTTTTCTCTGCAATGAGATCCTGGGGGAAGACAGTAGCTGGGTAGGGAGTACCTCCTTTGGTGCCAGTAACCTTAGCTATCCACAGGTCCTTTGCTGCCAATAATGGGCACCAAAGGAGCCATTTTCCACCTCTGCTCTTCACCAGCCTACTTCTCTCTCCCACCCCCACTCCACCCCCATTTCTCCTGTCACCAGTTCCCCCCACCTCTATCATGGGAAGCAGGCAAAGTGGGGAGGAGAAGGAGGGGAAACTGGAGTTCTCACCCTTTCCCACAGAGGTATAGGCTGCAGAGCCTGCACCAAAAAAAAAAAAAAAAATCCACTTACAGAGTGGTTGAAGCCCCTACTACACTTTCCAGAATGGAACCACCCTGCTAGGTAACCATCTTTTTGTGGGAACAGAAACAAGGGGAAGCAACTCTTCAGTCACTCGGTGGATAGAAGGAGTTCTTTTGGGGGCAGGGAGAACTGACATTAAGAAACCTGCTTCTCCACATTCTCTGTCCCCTTCTCCTGCCACTCGTGGATTCACCAGAGATGTGGGAGAGCTGGCTTTTTGGCACTGTGGCAGAGGCCCAATTATCTTCACCTAAAGGCAAATAACCAAGGGGCATGTTCACAGCAGCTACTCATGGGCAGGAGCAGCAGGACAGGCCCTGCCCTTAAATTTACCACAAAATAATTGCCACAGACTGACTGACTGGAGCAAAAACTGGAATGTGCCACTTTTGAAGCAGAGCAAGAAAAGACGGCTGGAGACTGCCTTTGCAGTGGACTGGATGCAATATGAGGACATTTTGCATTCATGACATCAACACATGCTTAGTGTGGCATCTTTGTGCTGGGGCAAGCGGGGCATGCCACTTTTTTATTATTATTACTGTTGGTCCCATAATCGGCCAGATGTTTAGACTGGATTTGGCATTTTTATTCACCTATTTGGACCTTCTCAAGGACCTGGGATAGGCAGATGTTGTTGTTTGATGATGATGATGATGATGATGATGATGATGATGATGATGATGATTAAAAGGGATTTCTTTTAATAAAATGTGTTAGTCTGAAAAGGTGCTACCAGATTCCTGAATTTTGCAGGGCATAGACTTAACTCGGCTCTCCTCCTACAACCTTTTCAGAACAGGAGAGGCTGCCATTGGGAGGGAGCTCCCACAATAACTGTTAGGCTTCACGACTGAAAATAACCAGTCTAGCTAGGGAAAGAGAGGAGAGACGGAAATCCATTATTGTATACTTGCAAGATTATTGTCGACCTGCCCCATCGCATTAGCAACCGCCGGAGCTTGGAGGAGGAGCGCTCTCCTCCCACAGGAAGCACAGGGCGACAAAAAGGGAAGGGACTGCGGGACCGGGTCCAGCCCCTTTTGCGTTCCTCTCACGTTGCGATGGATGTATTTTTAATTGCGATTGAATCGAGCGGTGCAGAGCTAGACGTTTGCAAGCCGGAGTGGGTCCCTTTGAAACCGGCTTCCTAATTCCCGAGGTGATCGTTTCTGCTGATATGTGAGCTCCCTCTCAGCCCTCGGCCCCCCTTGTTTGCGGGTAAGCAGGGGACGATCTGAAGCTGTGATCGTGGTCCAGAAGCGATGCAGTGTTATAAACG